CGGTGAGAAAGCTTGGATTTCTCCTCCTTTTCTTGCTCTAGAACACACCTAGAACCCAGAAATCTTCCCCCCCTGCTGGAAAAGTCGGATCTGCCTTGCTCTGCTCCTCACCATCCGACTGCTCCTACTTTGTGGGTGTGATTTGTTCGGTTTTTTGGTAAGAAATAGCTCAAATTCTCCTTCTCTAGCTTTGAATTTCCCTGGGTTTACTTTGATTGCTCTTATTTTCTCCAATTTTTGGGTAAACCCGTGAGTTCCCTACAGATTTGCCGCCGGCCTCTTCCCCCTGCTAGGTCCAGTTCCTTGCTTGTAAATTCTGGTATGTGACAGCCTTTTAAGGCTTAAATTATCCATTTAAAGTTGCTGCTTGTGATGTCCGAATTTGGCTAGGAAATGGGGACATTCCGGTAGCAATTAAGAGGGATTTAAGTGTGTTTTGTTGCTTAATTCAAGTGGGATTTATGTGATTGAGTGTTAATTGCTTGTTGTGATTTTTGGAGAAAAAATCCCGTGAATTAGCTAGTGTTTTGGCCAATTTGTGGAAGTTGAGTTACTGTTCACGTCGTGGTTACTGTTCACGTCGTGGTTACTGTTCATGGGGTACTGTTCATGGACACTGTTCACACCCCGAGGGCCAACATTTAATGGGAATTTAAATGATTAGTTTGTGATATGAGAACGAATTTGGAGATGTCCGATCATGTGGAAAGTGATAGAAATAGCATTGTGATTAGGAATGATCCTAATGATGATTTCAGCTTGAATTTGTGACAGTCCGGTATTAATTCTTGAAATATTTTGATTAGGTTCTTGATTGTTCTGTCAGTTAGTACGTGAATTGAGTGCTCGGTTTTATGCAAGTGAAGTAAGTAATTTATGGTAATGGCTGTACTGTTTTAAAAGCATGTTTTGATTTGTTTTTGAAGTGGTGGCGGGACTAAACCCGTTTTACACGAGCATGACTGATTTGAAGTGAAATGTTTTATACTTTTCATTAAATTGAGCATGCCTACTTGAAATTTAAGTGACTGTCCTGATGATCTGAAAGTGATTAGCGAATTATGATTTTTCTGTTAACTTCTGCCTGTTTTGTCTCCGATATGGTCATGTTATTCATGTGCCCGCTAGTGGGAGGTTACAAACGCTAGCACATGTCGACATGTTAGTGATAGAGCCGGTTCGTTCAACCCTGCTAGTGGGGGTTATACACCAGCAACTCGTGTGCCCGCCAATGGGAGATTTATAAACGCTGGCCGTGACCTATAGAGGAGACGTCTATTTCATTCCCGTACTGTATCCGTTTTGCGTGATTGCACATGTGGCATGCTTTAAGTTTGATAAGGGGCACTCCATATTTACTTACTGAGTTTATCTCATAGTTTTTCTTTGTCCACCATTTCAGGAAGTGAAACCGAGGACGGGAAACCACAGGAAGTGACGAGTTAGAAGGCTAGCCATATTGTAATTGGATATGAATTTTAGAAACAATTCATGATCTTGTATTTGGAGATTTTATGATATTA